AAGAAAACCTCTTTTGAGTCAGGTTCTGTGATCTTACATTGCCATAATCTCATGAAACTGCAACAATGTATTTACTTTGGAACACTCTTGTTCATAAACCTATTCCATGCATATTCAATTTCCCAGAGGGAGACCACAGTTGTGATAGAAGGATATCTGCAAGCGGGATCTGAAGGCCTTAGGAATGGACCTCCACAGATGGGAAACCTTGACATCTGAGTGTTCAGCATGGAGGCATGCTGAACACTCATGCCTCCATGCTGAACATGGAAAAGCATTCCCCCAATGGGGAACTGCTTTTCGCTAGACAATGATTTCGCTAAACAGCAATTTCAGTGGAACGGATTATCATCGTCTAGCGAGGCACCACGGTATGTTAATATTCCTAATGGGGAGGGGGGAAGGGATGGACTTAGCTCAGAGTTTATTTCCTTTCTTTTTCCTTTCCTTTCTCTTTGACTCTGAGATTCTAATTACAGGAAATGCTCAGCTCACATTCATAAGCAGGTAGCCTGGTGTTTTGGTTGCCCCCCCTTCACAACATCATTTCCTCTGAAATTTGAATCTAAGATATCAGGCTGTGTTTGCCTCTCATTGCATTTGCCTTCTAATGGCCAATCATAAAACACAGTTCACTGGAACCTGAAGGACCAATGCAAAGCTGTGGGAAAGACCATCTCTCCCCATAAGAGTCTTCACAGCTTTTCATATCTTTGGGGGATGCCGTTCTTCAGTTCTCACAGGCATGTTTGTGAAGATGTCAGAAAGGGCCTTTTCCGGAGCTGCCCTGAGGTTGTGGAATATCCTCCTGTAGAAGTCTAGATAGGCCCCGTAGCATTCCACCACCAGCAAGCAAAGACTCAAAGCTTTCCTTTTCAGGTGTGATTTTAATAACTGAATTGGACAAAGAAGGAGTTTTTAACTTCAGGACACTTTTTTATTGCTTCCTTATCACTAGTTTGTGTGTGTGTGTGTGTGTGTGTGTGTGTGTGTGTGTAATTGTTTTTTAACATGTGGCCTTTAAATTATTACAAGTTTATTTTTTTAATACAGTAGGACCCCTGTATTTGTGGGGAATCGGTTGTAAACCACCACCACCACCCCACGGATGCTGAATAACACGGAACACTATTTTAATAGCAAACACTATATGGCCTCTGTCTCTGTCTGGTGTCCTGTTCTGGTAATGGCATGTGGAAAATATTTCTCTAGCAAATGTTATACATAGCATGGCCTCTGGCTCCTTCTAATGGACAGTTCTGATAACTTCATCATAGATATCTATATCTGTATAGCTATATATAGATTTTTCTTTTAATATTTTTAATATTTTCAGACTGTGGATCAGTGGCTACATCTATCATTTGTGAGATACCCTGAATTTCTTCAATGGAAGAAGGGCAGCATAAATATGAATTTAAACAGAGGAAGAAAGAAATGAGTGAGTGAGTGAGTAAATGAAAGACTGAGTGCAAGACACTGTGTAGGAACATGTGCTAAAACTGTTATGAGAAATGAAGGTTCATAGGAACGTGAAGGCTGATTGGCAGAAAAGTCTGGGAGGGGTTGAATAAGGTCTTACAAGCAGCTCAGAAGTTATTTTACACGGCTTAGTTATCTCTTAGTTGATGTCCTGCTATGTCATGTTGGATGTGATGTACTCTGTGCATGGTCTGAGACTATACTGATGCTACACTAGTGTGCAAGTACTAGGTACTTTATTAAGCTTTTTTTATTTTCTGGTGTGTTTGCTCTGTATTGCTCCTGCCTGAGATTTTAATCAACTGTTTGCTCCAAAATACTTTTGATGCTTTCTTGAAACCTTTGAAACATTTGTCTTTTGACTTTTCCTACTGTCTTTACTAAAACATAAATATTTCTCACTTCAGTTGTCTGGATAAGAGGGTCTGTGGTACCTGAAACCAGGTCTTGCTTTGGCCATCTACTGGGAGTTGTTGATTTTTGTGACTACGGAGGCACTTCTATCTTGCAGGGTTGGTGTGAAAGTCTAAACTGCTTAACCTTGTGAATTTTTTTTTGGAACCCCCTGAAAGCATTGTTCCATGTGGTGGCCAGGAGGATGCTAAGGCATGCCAGGAGGCTGATACAGGTGGGAGGAGGTCATAGTGACACATGCAACTTAAAATGCAGGCATGCCTAGGTGCCTCCTCCTTTTCACTCATCACCCTGCACAAGCCTCTCGGAATATGTATGTATGTATGTATGTATGTATGTATGTATGTATGTATGTATGTATGTATGTATGTATGTATGTATGTATGTATGTATGTATGTATGTATGTATGTATGTATGTATGGTATATCACAGAACTGAGTACACTTTTTCAAGATGAAAATTGTGGAATCCAAGTGTAGGTCAGTACTTACAGATGAACATTTCCATGGCATTTTAAGGGTGTCTGTCACAAACCTTTTGTTTCTGATCATGGGGCGTTCTTGGCAAAGATACTGGAGTGGCTTGCCAGTTCCTGCTCCAGGTGGATTGCGTTTCGTCGGAACTCTCCACTATGACCTGTCTGTCTTGTGTGGCCCTGCATGGCATAGCCCATAGCTTCTCTGAGTTCCTCAAGCCCCTGCACTACGACAAGACAGCAATCCATGAAGGGGAGAGTCCCCTGGACTGCAAGGAGAACAAACCTATCAATTCTAAAGGAAATCAAACCTGAGTGCTTACTGGAAGGACAGATCCTGAAGCTGAGGCTCCAGTACTTTGGCCATCCAATGAGAAGAGAAGACTCCTTGGAAAAGACCTTGATGTTGGGAAAGTGTGAAGGCAAGAGGAGAAGACAGAGGATGAGGTGGTTGGACAGTGTTATTGAAGCAACCAACATGAATTTGACCCAACTCCGGGAGGCAGTGGAAGACAGGAGGGCCTGGCGTGCTCTGGTCCATGGGGTCACGAAGAGTTGGACATGACTAAACGACTAAACAACAATGACGTCACAAACCTTGACTTGAACCTTAATGCCTTGGCTAGCAGAAAACATCCACAAAAATCACACTGACTAGGGAAGAATGTGTTGCTATATAAAAGGATTCCACTGGAAAATACTGTTCCAAGATAGATTGCATTCAAACTAACTTACAGTTTTCAGCTTTCATATTTTAGCTTTTTAATAATGTAAGCTGCCTTGGATCCTTCTTTAGGGGAAAGGTGGGGTAAAAGTATTTTAAATACAATAGTAAATGTTGTACAAACCCCGGCCAGTTTAGTAACAAGAACTAACACCACAGCAGGACTATGCCAGATATAAATGTGTAGTAAGATTAAAACTGAGCATTTGAATCAAGGCTGCCTTGCTGTTAAATCATGATTAAAATTTGTGATGTAAATAAAAGTGATTTGAGTCTGTTTGCCCAGCTCCTGCATTTGAGAAATGCTAATTACATTTGGAGGCTCCGGGATTTACTGTAAGAGGGGAATGATAATAGACATTCACATCACATTGATTGCATAGGTAAAATAATTAGAGGTTTGATTTAAAGAAGACAACAGAAATGACTCACAGAGTCTGGGCAGATTTGGAATAATTGAAACAATTTGCAAAAAACATTCTGCTTAGAGGAAGTGAATGTGGCAGGATGTGCCCTTTCTTAATCAAAAGCACCAAATGCAAAGGGAAACCATGACAACAGAGGAAAGGTCAAGGAACCAATGGTTGTCAGAAAGTTACAGTATAGCCTCCCATTTTCTTTCCTTAGATGAGGCTCTCCCTTTTAATCACTTCCTAATTGTTTTATTTATTCCAGAATATCATTAAAAAGTTTGTACCTCATATTTCCATCTTTGCTCCTGAAGGAACCGACAACAGCAGTGGTCCTCACCCTTGGGCCTACAGATGTTCTTGGACTTCAACTCCCAGAAATCCTGGCCAGCAGAGGTGGTGGTGAAGGCTTCTGGGAGTTGTAGTCCAATAACATCTGGAGGCCCAATGTTGGGGACCACTGGACAACAGCAATCACAATTTTTTGAAAAACAGCCCAGTTTGGTTTTATTTCTTGTAAATATTTATAGATTCATGTGATTCAACACAATTAATAAATCTGACGAAGTGTGATGTACCCTGTAAAAGCTTGTGCCAAACAGCACTTGTTAGTCTTTAAGGGGCCACAAGGCACTTTGTTACTTTTGCTGCAACAGACTAAGGCAACTTCTCACTCCTCCACCTGACATGTGTTTCAGAGTAAATCTACTTGAGGCAGCTGCAAGGTCCCAATCTAAGCCATGCCTGATGCCTTGTGACGGCCTTATTTATTTATTTACAAGATTTTTTTAGCCACAACCTTGGTTGAGAACCGACCTGTGACAATTCCTTGGGCCTGCCTCTAGCTACAGACTCACCTTTGAGAATTCAGAGTTAATTTAATATATGGTTGTATTTGGAACATAATCATTTAAAAAAGAAAATCCTTCTCATTTCTAATTCCTTAAAATTTGGTAGACATAGGTCATGGTTTCTGATCTCATATTCCAGGACTCAGGGTTAGTATGGCGTTTTTGCTTTAATGAGAGTGATGATCAACTCTCCAACTAATACAGGGTTGTTTTGTTTCAGTTCTTTACATTAAGCTTGGAGGAATGGTTCCTTACCTCACTTTAAAGGAGATTATTTCCTCACAAAATTCCAAGAATCGGCACACATCCTTCTTGCCTCAAACGCGCCTTGTTAACTGTCCTCTCCCAGAGAGATGCCACCCCATTTGCTCCTCATCAGCCAGGAGTGAAGAATCAGGCCATGTTTACTTAGCATTGACAATGTTAGTGGAATTCCTTTACATCAATCTCCTCCATTTCAACTTACTCCATATAACAAAACTAAAGCTGATAGGACATAGGACTTTGATTTTATGGTGTATAGAATTTTCAGGGATGTTTGATATTAGAACTTTTTTTTTTAATGTAAAACCTACAGGAGACACGTACTGGTGCCTCACTCACACAGTTGTTATCGTTCTATATATTTTCATGTTTCTTCTAGGTATGCAGCTAACTTGAAATGCAGCTCAAGGTATAATGGACATATTCTTAGAAAATAGATTTTCCTGCTTTCTGTATCCCGCCATTCTTCAAACACTTTTCAAATACTGGGTTCAGAGGTGATCTTGCACTCACAGTATCGGCAAGGGCTCAAACTGCTTACCTTCAGCTATGAAGCTTCATGAAGCCCTGTTCAATTACATCGTTTGTTGAGGTTTTTCACTTTCAGTAGTCCAAAATTCAGCGGGGGGGGTGATAAAAGAGAAGACTTTCATTCTGTGTGCCAAGCAATGTTTATTTCAGCTGATTAGTAACATTTTATCAAGCTGTGTGTCACACCATGAATCATAAAGATCAAAATGAGCAAAAACAAAGGCATGAGTCCAAAACATTAAAGGTATTAAACAAAAGGACTAGACAGGTCTGTCAAGAGATGGACCGTCTGAGACCTGCCAGGCTTGAAAGTCAAGGGCATCCAGTTCCTAGACTTTTTGGCTTTTATAGTTTACAGCAGGCCTGGAGAACCTGTGGTCTTTGCAGATTATGATGGTTTGTACCAACCCAGACGGCCTAGCCATCAGTGAGAGCTGATAAGAATCGTTCTTCATTTAACATCTGGAAGGCCACAAATTCCCCCACAGTTGTGCAATGCCAACTTGGAGGGATTACAAGTATTGTTTTACTGGTAGGATTGTGTTCTGGCTGGACAATATGCCAGGTCTAGTTGTATACCTTGAAGCCCTTGTGTGGGGAGGATTTTGCAATTTGCTACTATTTGTTGGGTTACTGCAATCTCCCCCATTTTTTTAAAAAAAATTGCACCAGTTACAGCAGCCACATGTCCACCCTCCATAGGAAGATGCTAGGTTGTACAACTTATCCTTTTGCATAGGACCAGCCAGACCTGGTATCCACCTGAGACATTATTGGGTGAGGGCAAAAGTCTTGCCATCTTAGGGAATCTCATCACTGATTCCTAGGGTTGCCATGTCAGCAGGTTTCTGTTCTGTGGGTTTTCCGGCCCCAAACCTGAAACCAGAGAGTGGATTCTTGTAATGTCACATAGTAGAACTATGTCATTTAACAGAGGCAATGCTTTTATGCTACCCCGGGAAGGGGGGCTTCTATAATACTTGCAAAATCCATGCATGTCCATTCAGCACACTGTAGCTTCCTACAAATGGCATGAACTGACCAAGGGCATGATCCCACTACTCTTTTCCAGTCTCTTTGCCTTCCTCATGGCTCTTTGATATACACATGCTGCATACAAATATTGTGCTTAGCTCTAGTCCTAGTTGGGATGGGGTTAGGAAGTACCTCATACAGAAAAATCAAACTTTCCTTTTTCCAGTACTGCACACTTCTATATTTGTCTCTCTACTTAGGTACTCCTGTTGACACCTGCGCCGGGTCCCCGTTAAAAACAAAAAAACCATCTTTCTAATCAAAGGTAGGCCAGAGACTCATTCAAATTGACCTGCACAATGGCAGTTGGTGGGCATCACTACCTGGTGGATACTGTGGGAGATTCAAATGATAGTTTGTTCACTCTGTACCAGTTGGCGTGTTGTCCCAAAAGTGGTCCCAAGAGGGCTCACCAACCTAGCTGAAAACCAGCAGATGGCTGTTTTGTCAAACCCTACCTTCAGACATGGAGCTGGCACTGATTGTAGTCTGGTCACAAGGCTACCAGTAGAAATCACAAGACATGAATTTCCAGCAGTGCCAACCTTTGTGGAGAACTACACAAACCATGTGCAATTCTGGGTCAAAATTATGTACCTCTATGTTATTCTGTCATAATTTCACTTAGAATCAAGTGTCTTCACAATGTTTTAAATAGGTGGATTCAAGAAACAATAGCTTTCCACATATGCTAATAAATTCATGGAATATGGGACAAGGTGAGGGAGTTTTTATTCATTCATTCATTCATTCATTCATTCATTCATTCATTCATTCATTCATTCATTCATTCATTCATTCATTCAGTCATTCATTCATTCATTTTGGTGGTTGTTCCAATGTTGTTGACCCACAATGTCTCGTCAAAACTAATGGCTGGCTGCAGCACATATAAGGTCCCTTCATCCCACCCTATTCCATACCTACTAACTAGTCACAAGAGCAATGAGGGCCAGCATTTCTAATACAATTTCCAGGATATGGTTAGCTGTTTCCTAGCAACCACTGTCATAGATGTAAAAACTCAAGAGGGAAGTGTGTGTGTGTGTATGAGGTTCTCCCCCCCTCATTCCTGTTCATGTACCCCCTTGAATTGTAGAAAGCAGCTATTATGTTCTGCTATCTGTAATATCTTAACCTTAACCTCATTCTAGGTGGCATAATGATGAATCTGCAAAGAAATTTGCTCTTTGATGTCTCAGAATAAGAGCATCCTATGCTCAGTCGAAGGAGCAGGCAGGTCATTACATTTCTCCAGCTCAACTTTCTAGGTTATTTGTAGCATATGGGCACAGAAGATCTAAACCTGGAATGAAAAGTTCATTCAGGATAAAGCTCAGCCCGAATTTCTCAGAAGATAATTTCTTGAGACTCACTAGATTCCCAGAAAACAAAAGCCTAGTTTTTGTCCATCCTGTTGTTATTTCAGTCTCCCTTGTCCTCCTATGACTCTCTGGAACCATGAGAAAAGAACGCAGCTATTCCACTGTTGGTAACTCCTAAGGGTGAGACTAGCTCCAGAGAAATAATTTGAGAATGTCTGCTTTCCTGCAGAATTTGGTAACTTTAGTTTCTCTGCCCATTCTTTGGAGAATAGCAAGAGGCTACATGCACAGCTTTTGTTCCATATGGATATGTTTTATGAGTTAAAGTTTTTTTTTTAAAGAAATGGGTCATGTGGAAACTACAATGTCAACTTGGACTTAAACTGATGGTTTGTTTAATTACACTGGACGTTATAAAAATATTGTTAATATTTTGATGGACAAATGCAATTCTGCAGACACGCAACTGTGCGAACAGTCAGGAAGGCAAAGTTATGCTTTGGGGCTTGTCTCTTAAAACATTGATTTCTTCTGTCAGAAAAACTAGACTGAATATACATCTGAGGATGCAAAATTATAATGGACACAATTTGGGTCTTTTGACCTGGATAAAATAAATTACTGTAAGGGATTTTTAAATAAACATCTGGAACAGGTACCTTCGTTTCACCTTTGGCATGATGAAATATTGCACAGACAGCAATATTCAATAATTGCCAGTCCCAGAGAAACCGACAAAAAGTGGTAAAAAAAAATGTGGGAGAAAGGGAGGAAACGTGGCCATTATCTTTGCCTCTAGGATTCTGTCCCCACCCCATGTTGGGGACCAAAGGGGAAAATTACAATACAATAAAACATTTTTTTCCTTTTGAATGTGTGAAATCCTTTAAAATATTTTTAACACAAGATTCTACTTATTTAAATGTGCCTTATGATGATTTTTATGTAAGACATCCTTTTGATACCTTTAGAAAATGACAAATTCTGCATACGTAGCCCACAGCTCAATATTCTGAAAGTTTTCATGCATGTGAACCTGATACCAAATATACTACAGATCCTTAACAGTGAGACTGCAGGAGACTGTGCTTAAGTAATACACTTTTTGTTTCCCATGAGAATTGTGGTCTCTGATTGTAATGTTTCCTTATTTTATAGATCAGTATAGAGCACAAAAAGATACAAGTGCTTTGTTGGCATAAGGTGTTATGATTCGCACCTCTCTCTTTTGCTTTCTCTCTCCTGTACTGAATGTCTTTGCAACTTCGCTTGTTCAAATCTAGGGCATTCATACCATTGAGGCAGTAATCAATCCTTTGCACATTTATCAGCAATTAGACATAGGACCTTTGTGGGGGTGTTTTTGGGGGGCTGTACCCCACACAAGTCTGCAGGAATTCTGGTGGCCATAACCAAAACAAACAAAGTCCTTTCAGGCATTTTGAATTGCTTACAGATGAGGAGTAAAGGCTCTATCAGCTATGATGGCTCTCCATGAAGATGCAGGGATTGGCTGAGTGCAGTTAAGCTCTGTGGGAGCTGCAAGGCATTAGGAGTCTTGTCATCTCCCTAGCATTATGCAGCATATCAGGTGTCTTTCATTTAAAAATAAATAAATACATAAAGTTATGTAAATTTCAGAACCATGTTGACAAATACATCACATTATAAAGTATGCATTCAAGTGCAGACTTGAAAAGGAAACAAATATTGCATATATCTGAAATCCCTTGTTTCATTTTTCTATTCCTACTTACAAAACCTTTTCTCCTTCAAAATTCCTGGGAATTTTACATTGGTTGTCATGGAGGCTACGGAATACACTTGCTACTGGGGGCAGCACATTTTTGTATATCAATTGCTAGGAAGCACAAGGAGAAGACCTGGTCTTGCACTTGTTTCCTGCTGTTGGGCTTCCCACAGGCTATGAGTTGGCCACTTTCTGAACAGAATGATGGACTGGATTAGACCTCTGCTCTTCCCAGGGTCTTCTAATTTTTATTTCTTTATTTTTTTTGCCCAGGAACATGACAGAAGAGTGAGAGGGACATAAATGTACATCAACTCAAGATGTACTCCCATTCCTCCTTCACGCTGAATTTGGAAAGTAGCATCTTATCATATCCTGAGAAAGGGAGAAAATGCTGAAAGAATAAAAACACTTCAGAGTTACACAGCTGACTTTGCTCCAGACATCTGATTGTCAAGGATTTCATAGTCCTTTTATCTTCACTGCACACATAGAATCACATCAATACAATAATTGACTAAGTTATTTCCTTCCTTGAATCATCAAAGTCTGAAAAATGGGGCCCAACACACACACAAAAAGGAGATTTATTTCTGCCTTATTACTTATTGCAACATGCTAAGATGACTACCTAAATGCTAACGTCTAATGCATGTTAGTGTCACAAGAAGGATAAATTCTTTTTTACCAAAAAGAGGAGAGAAATTATTTATTTATTTATTTAGCAAAGCCGTAGCAAGCACTTTCTTTAAAGCATGCATGGGATTTGCAATCATTAGAGTAAATCTCACATGTCATGAAGGGAAGATCAGTGTGATGGAGCTTGAAAGCAGCATTTAAGCACATTTTAAAAAATCAAGGCATCATATAAATTATATTATCGGCTTATCTTGATTTTTGGAAGCTGAAACACATGACATTCTTTTTAAACAATAATTCTTGCTGTATTTTAACATTTTAGCAAGGATCTGGTACTTTGGCTTTATTGAGAATTATACTTTGATCCATTTTATCTTTGTTGTTTGGATCCCTAAATATATACTATCATATTACCATGATAGTTTCAACCACCAGATTATTGGAGTACTTCCTCAGTTTAGGGATCAATCACACATGCCAAAAAAAAAAAAACACCTCAAGTTATACTGATTCTGTTGTTATTTTAATCATTTTATAAATTTGTGTTCACATGATGCTTTGATAACATTGACAAATTTGGCCATCCAAGCAGTTTTTTCCCTCACCTTGCCAGCATGGCTGTGTTTAAATGTACCTATCCCTGTATTTCTTCAGTCCGTATCATTTCAATGTGTGTGAATGTTCTGCGATATTACTTATCGTGTGAATAATACATGTGAATGTTGCTGTTGAATTATTTACTTTGCAAATGGATTGGGTTTCTGGGTGCTGTGGACACCTTTCTTCTTCTTCTTCTTCTTCAAAGGTATATTGATACACTACTTGTAGCAACAGGAACCACCACAAAAACAATACCAAATACATTGAGACAACCTTCCCTGCTCTCTTGCAAGTGTAAGGAAGGAAAGGGGAAAGAGGGCTTAAGCAGAGAAGGGGCCATTTCCTGTTTGGAATTGTTTGGGGGCAGAAAGCTCTCTCTCTCTCTCTCTCTCTCTTTCTCTTTCTTTAACCCTGCTCTTCACAACACTTTTTAAGTCCTTTAAAATGCACTTCCTCCTCCCAACGCTGTTCAAAAAGGGAAAAGAAAAATGAAAGCCAAGAACTGAGAAGGAGAGATATGCAGGGAAATAAGGAAAAGGGGACAAGTGGAGGGAAGTGAAAGGAAGAAAGAAGGAAAATGAGGAAAGAATAATGGGAAGTGGAGAAAGTAATTGGGAAGTGCAAATTAAAAAGGGAGGG